TGACAAGATCTATTATGGATTCCACAAGATGTTCACTATTTCTCTGCGGCATTCTATATATTATCAAATTGTTTTTCTTTAAAAGTTTTTGTGTAAGATATACTTGATGTTTTAATTCCTTATTTTCTGTTTCTAATACTTCAATTTTACTTTGAAGGAAAAAAAGCTGCTTATCAACTTTAGAGCTGAGATTATCTAGGTCCTGTCTTGATGTTATCAATCTTATTGCAAACATTTTCGTTAATATTATTCGAGAGCGTGTATAAATCCCCTAATTTGATTTCTTGGGTCATTTTATCGATAAACAGCAGTAAATTTTGAGACACTTGACAACACCGTTTGGATGGCTTGTAAGGTTGCTTGCTAAATATTGCAAATTCTTTAAATTCTTCTATGTGATAGTATTTTAGAGATATTCAAAAACTACTTTTCGTGAAGTCTGAATCAATTGATTTTCACTCACCCGTTCTATCTTAATATACTTTATAACTTGTAATTTGAATTTTCTAATTCTGTACCCCAGAATAAAAGTGTATTAAGTCCACTTTTCTCGAAAATAGGTTTTTTGCTGCATTATGTGAAATATTTAGTTCACTTTAATATGCAAAACCGTATCAAGTTCTATCTACAATATTAAACAAAATAACATTTTTATAACCGTATTAAGTCACAATATGTCCCGGAAGAAAACAATATTAAATTGAATAGAACCCTTTCTTACCGGCACCTGTGAAAAAATATAATATTAAGTCCATATTTGTCTAATGTTATGATGGCATAGACAGTATTAAGTCCACAATATCGGCAGTTATTTGTTGGACATGAAGTGCATCAGTGGTTAATAAGCATAAACAATAATTTATTCCTGTTTAGTGATTTTAATAGAAAGAGTGTCTTGTAAGCATGAGTTCAAGAAGCAAAAGGATTCTGGGTCTGCTGAAAAACGAAGGAAGTAGTATTAAACTACCTGAAAATTCTGATGGTAAGTTATCCTAACCTCAAAATAAAATTAATAATTGAGCAAAAAATAATAATTGCAGTAGAAATAGCTTGTAGCACCTGAAAATGGGATTATTAAAGGTATAGTGCCATTTTAATTTTACTATTTTTAACACCAACTTGACTTTTAGAGACCCGAAATAGCGAAATTCCGGTAGAAGAAATTAGTTATACAGTAGCCGATTTTGAGTATCTTGACACAGTCAACATAAATGAAAATATGCCCAGTGGTGAAGGAAATGGAAAATATAGTGAGTCTGAAAGTATAGTATTCTAATTGCGTCGTTTTATGCGGTCTAATACGTTTACACTTTTAGAAGGCCCATCCTGTATAAATGAAAACTTGCCCAGTGGTGACGGAAATGAAAAATATCTCAGTGAGGCTGAAGGTATTGTATTCTAATTGCGACGCCTTATGCGGCCTAATACTCTTACACTTTTAGAAGGTCTATCCTGTATAAATGAAAACTTGCCCAGTGGTAACGGAAATGAAAAATATCACAGTGAGGCCGAAGGTATTGTATTCTAGTTGCGTTGTTTTATGCGGCCTAATACTCTTGCACTTTTAGATGGCCCATCCTGCAGGTCTAAATTAACTATTTATACAAGCGATAAGAGGGAACAAATGATAGGCCTTACTAATATTATGGAAGACGAAACAGAATTGCAAGAGTCAGATGATGATAGTTTATTAGATCCAAATTATGAAAGTGACAACGATTTTTCACATCACTCGAGTGACAGCACTGCAAGTCAAAGGAATGAAAATAATAATAAGAAGAGTAGAAAGCGGAAACGACAAGAAAAAAAATGGAAAATCAATGAACAACACATGAAAGTAGTTTCTGGTTTAGAACATAAATCAAAAAAGAAGGTGATCTCTAAAAAAACCATAGGTCCGCCTTGTAATATTTCTTGCCGCCTTAAATGCAGTGAAAAAGTTTGCCACGAGGAGAGATTAAACATTCATGCCAGGTTTTGGGATGGTACTAAAGACATAAACCAAAAGAGACAGTTCGTCGCATCCCATGTAAAAGTTGTCCCAATATTAAGAAAGAGGCGTAGGACCGGAGCTAGAAATGATGCTAGAAGTCATACCAGAAATTATTATTTTGAAATGAATGATTTGACCGTTCGTGTATGCCGGACGTTTTTTCATAATACTTTAAATATTTCTCAAACTTTTGTAACCACTGCTTTAAACAAAAAAGAGCCCGGCGGTATCATTGCTGCAGATGGGAGAGGTAAACATGACCAACACGCCAAAACGCCTGAATTCGTTAAGCAACATGTTCGTGAGCACATAGGGAAGTTTCCAGTTGAGGAATCGCACTATTCTCGAGAAAGATCTGCTAGAAAATTTTTGGGAAGTCATTTAAGCATCGCAAAATGTACAGAATGTATCAAGCAGAGTGTGAGGAAAATAATGTAGAGCAGGCTCATATCGCCAAAGAATGGTTATATGCTGAAATTTTTAATACGGAATTTAACCTCTCCTTCAAATAACCAGATAATGACACTTGCGATCAATGTGATCATTTTTTAATAAAATTGCGTGAGGAACCTAGTATAGTAGAAAAGGAAACTTTGCAGAAGGAATATGATTTACATTTAGAAGAAGCTTCAAAGAGGTATAAGTTGAAGAAAGAAGATAAACAAAAATATTTGGAAGATAAATTCAAAAGCATAATGGTTTGTGTTGATATGCAGAAGTGTCTTCCTACACCAGTGTTAACAAACTCTCAAAGCTTTTATAGTTTGAAATTATGGACCTACAATTATACCGTCTACAATGTCACCAACAAAGTCACTACATGTGTAATGTGGGACGAATCTAAATCTGGGCGTGGTGCTAATGAGATGGCTTCTGGAATGTTAAAATGGGCAATGTCAAATATAAAGCCAACTCACGAAAATCTAATTATCTGGTCCAATAACTGCCCATCCCAGAACCGAAATTTAATTATGGTAATGGCTTATTTTTATCTTCTCAAAAAATTTCCATCTTTGAAAAGGATTGAGCATAAATTCTTATTGAGAGGCCATACTCATCTAGAGGTAGACGCATGTCATTCCCTAATTGAGCGCGAGAAAAAAAAGACTGTTGGTTTTCAAATAATGACGCCATGGGATTGGCAGCAAATAGCACGAATGTGCAGCATAAATAATCCCTTTGAAATCATAAACATGGAAATAGAGGATTTTAAAGATTTTAAGCAATTGTTTTGCAGTTCTACGGCGCCATTTATATCCCGAAAAAAAGATAGCACAGGTAGTGACTTCGCTATATCAAAGGTTGTAGTTTTACAAGTGCGTGCAGAAGACCATGGAATTTTGTACTTTAAAACCAACTTTGGTGCTATGAATTTCCAATCGATCGATTTAATTCGGACCGGAAGAAGAGCAACATTCCCCGCAGAAGTTCCAAATTTAAGATTTGAAGCTAATCCTTTATCTTCAAAAAAATTTAACCATCTTCAAACATTGTTAAAGTGGATACCAAAACAGTTTCACGAATTTTACAAAAACTTAAAGCACGCAAATGTAGAAGATGGTCAACACGAAGATAAGAATTAATGAAGTATGGTTGAGCACCTGTGGGTACACTTAAGAAAAATACGTTTTATGTTTTTTAGTTTGACACCTTAAATTTACTATTAAAATCTTGTTGAAAAGAGTTACATTACTTTTATTTAAACGAAATTGGATGACTCGACTTTAATTTTTTAATTATTAAAAATCCCTAGTGTTAATAAATTTCAAAAATCTATCGGAAATTTAGGCCATTAGAGAAGCTTAGGTTTGATCGGTAAAATCTACCACCGAACTTCAAAAAATGACATTTTTTTAAAGCAGTACTGTTACTTAACACATTGTTTCTCTAGCTTGTATTAAAATAATGTCAGTATCAAGTCCTATTACTTCACATAACATTGTAACAAAATAATATTAAGTCCAAAAAAAAAATCTAACTCCAAAACCCAAGTAAAAACTCACTTTCTTTAAAACTGTATTGGGTACCTATTAATAATAAGTAATATTTCTCCTATAAAAATTTTGAATGCTCTAATAAAATAAACAAATCGGAAAAATAACAAAATTGCAAAAATAACTCTTTAATTGGCTTTTCCCAAAAATCGATAATTTGGACTTAGTACACTTTTATCCTGGGGTACAGAATTTATTTCATAGATAACTCCACTTTTTGAATATATTTAACGGATAAAATTCTAATTCACATTAACACTTGACTTGCGACGTTGCCAATAGTAACATGTATTGATTATTTCCAATCTAAATATCTTGAGAACGGTTGGTCCTAGCGATTTTTACCAAGAGGCATTTGGTAATTTACCAAGTGTTTTTAACTTGCACTTAAAAATTTTCAAGCTCTGAGGAAAATTACGACTCGTTAATAAATAAACCAATAAAGTATCGCGAGACGTAATTAAATCGTGAAGCTGAAAGCATGATGTACACCATTCCCTAGAACTTTAGGTACTGATGTGGTACTGATTGGGTCGAACGGTGGACTGCGACAAATCAGAAGTGTCTAGCCCCACTATTAAGCTTGACCAGTCAGGTTGGTTAACGTGGTTATTTGGAGGGTGTTAATTCATTTGTGTTTGTCAAAAACTAACGTGATTGGTCGGGATTAATAGTTCCCTGCTGGGGCTAGACTCATGTGACAAATCTGCTATATCCCCTTCCACGTCTCTAGCAATGTGCGCAGTTTCTCGGTTTATTTCGTGCGTTTGGCAACGTGTTTACTGTTCTCTCTTTGTTCAGTACGTTTTAAACGCATTGTACTCTTCTTACATACGGAAATCTCGACCCAAGAGTAAGCTTTGCCAACCCTTAGTATTTACATTGTAATGTTTTCATTTACATTGTAGTTTATTTTATGTCTATGTTTAAGAGTCCGCTTTATGCAAGAAAAGTGACAATACAAGATATGTATGTGAGCCATACGATAATTAAATAAATTTGAAATAGCTTACCGGTTCTATCACCATATAAAATTCGTGCTTGCTCTTGTTAGGCCTCATGCCGTCAATTGGATCGGTGTAGTATGAATCGGCAGCATGGAAATGGGGAAACGAAAGATAAGTAGGTGAGTTTTGTCTGCATACGCTGATATCCAGTACTCCTGACGGGATACATTCGTCTCCACAAAAGCAGCGATTTTCTGGTCGTAGGGTTCCTAAAAAAATGAACTGTGTTTTATAGATTTTCCTGCTAAGAACAAAAAGAAAAAGAAAGAAACTTAACGTTTTTTAAAGTTCTATTGCTTTTACGGCGTACAGAGGAGTATCAAAACAAATGCAAAACCCTTTAAGAGCTGATTCTCTTGGTTACTTTCTTTTGTTAACATTCAATAAAACGTCAACGTTTTTTATAGACGTATCTGCTTTAAAAAACCAAGTGTTCTCGAACAGTTGCATTTAGATATTTAAATAATTTGTTTCTTTGTTCTTTGTGTTTTTTTGCTCCCGACGACGTGAAGAGACATACTTCCTGAAACGTTAAGCATTTTTTGTCTGTTAGGCAAATTTGTGACACTGCTGACAATTAGTCTCCGTTGGATTAACGCAGTAGTGCAGTACTGGTTGCAAGAATTGTGAAATCTGCTATATTTTATCAATAACAACTTATTTATTTTGGCGTCTCAATGAAACAACAAAAAATCCTTTTGTATCATATTTCAAAGAAAGTTTGAAACGATTATTATAGGCAACTTGAATTTAGAATAAACTCACTGTTATGAAAATAATACCAACTAAATTCATATAGCTGAAAGGAGGTTTTAAGCTTCATGTAAATATGTTAAAAATATATTTCCAGTTAAACCGAAAATGGTATTCGTGTTTTTAATAAAAAAATATGGGTTTTGATGAGCTACATTTTGAACGTAACAAATATTAGAAGTAAATCATATCTTTATCCTGATTTAACTGAATCTAAAAACCCACAATGAAATTTGATCATGTTTATGCATAACTTATCCGATCATGATACACACTTTTAATTTACGAGAGGAATACATTTATTACCAATCCCACCAAATTTCAAGGAGCAAATAAAATAACTATGGGAAACACGATCATTTCATTCAAAGTTGTAATAGATGTTTTGTTTACAAATTCATCATGGCTAGACGAAACATTTCGTGTAGAAGAACAACAGGGATCATTTCAAAAAAGGCCTATAGAACTGAAAGAAATAAAAAGTCGGAAAGAGAGGAGTATCATCTAGGTTGTCTCCAATAAAGTTTCTTTAAAATGAATTAGTAAGAGTGGGGTTAACCACTGCGACCTTAAAGACCTATTGTGACCCTCTTTCGTGAGTTATAGCTCATCATATAGTCTATAATAATACATGGGGATCTTCCAGTTATAGGGGGGGGGCAGGGTATTTTTCATCCTCCTTTGACAACAGATGTTCATCCTCCGAGGACTGGACATCTACCTACTACGAGGATATACACCCTTCCACAGTTGGGGTTTAGCTTTCCGCTCCCTTCACAGTCGAGGGCTTGGCTCCGGCTGAGGTACCCGTGAGGTGGAGGCAGGAGGATCTGTCGCCATTTTCTCCACCTCTTAAACTTAGTCGCTCCTTAGACCTGATACCGGTGTTGTCCGGAATATATAATAGGGGAATCTATAATATTCTATCTATATCTGTTTCTCTATTATCTCCTTGGATTTGAGGTCATTTACACCGCAATGGTTTGTCGGTCCACTTTTACAGAGCCCCACATGTAGAAGCAAGGGAGACGAGAATACAATGGGTTTCCCCCTGATACTCCAAGGTTGAGACCAGTAGAAGCTAGTCTTCTATTTAGCCACGCATCCCTTTGACCTGGTCCCGCCATCACAGGATTTAGGTCTTTGGTGAGGTTGTCTCCTCTTGGTCCTCCCCCACATCCTCTGTCCCGGATACATGACCACAGATAGTAGAGGGTGCCTGATATGACGGATAGGGTAGTTCCATCCGACATCGTTATCAATATTGGTGCAACTCGCTGGCCACGACACTACAGCCAGGGACAAGACGATAAGGTGCTCCTTAGACCAAGCCAGAGGGGATTCCCCCAGCACCTGACCAGGAGCTTCCCCACCAGCGACAAGGTTTCGCATCTCCTAGAGAAGGTTAATTTACATTATAATTTGAACGTTGAACCTGCCTTTGAACTTTTCTTTGTTGTACAGGGTTGTAAATTGACTTGCCGTTTTATTTTATTTTAAAACTTTTGTTATTTTGCCTCTGGACACCAAACCACCAACCGAATCAGACTTAATGATAGTGTAACGTTTTTAGTTCGTTACATGTCTTTTATATATAATATGTGATGTCTGGCGTATCTTCACCGGATTCCTTATCGTTCAGGCCTGATAATTTATTTGAAACGCTTGGCGTAATTTTTACGTTCTCGAGTCGACAACCCTGTTATCGTTTCACTGGTTCTATGGAGGGCTGTCAACATCGTTTCAAGGCGCCTCTCTGCGCTTTAACCTCACTTTTGGTGTGCCGGCTGTCGCCATCAGCAACCCGGCTTTTAGAAATGGTAAATTTAAATCTTGCTGCATAATCTGAATAAGCTGTTATTTCGAAGCTAGAGGTAAAGATGAGATATTATCTTTTTAGATTCGATATTATTACTGCGTATTTTTAGGGTAGAGTTTTGGATTAGCCCAACTTAACTCGTATTTGTATTTTGCTGGCATGTTGGTTTGGTTTGGTTCTTTTGCTGTTGTCCTCCAGAATGTTGAATGGAAGAATTGGACAGTTGCCTTTGTGAATTATAGAGCCCTCGGAAGTATTTCAAGGTAGGTTTATTTCGTTTATTAGACCTTCTTTGGTTTTAAACGCGAGTTTCGTATTTTTAAGGTCGTATGGACGGATGCCCTATACAGGGTGCTACAAATTCGAGGTACGAGCATTGGTATCTCGGAAACCGTAATAGATAGGAAAATGGTTAAATTGGGGCAAAGTTGCTCCTTGGCATGTTCACCAAGATGCCATCAAAAAAGTTTTAAAAATTTCAAGGATTGATGAGTTTTTTGGAAAAAACGGATTTTTTTGAAAATCAATTTTATTTTTTCCTGTCGTTACTATTTAGAAAATCAAAAAAATAATTGCACATTCTCATAGACACTTTATTAGGGTGATCTGATGGTGTTTTTAGATTTTTAAATTAGCTGATAATTTGTGAGATACAGAGGCCAACTTAATTTTTTTAAATACGGACCTGCATTTTTTATTTCAGATTTTGAAAGAACTCGGTTTCTTGAGTACAATGATATGCCACACTTGATACATTTTTTGTTTTGGGTACCTTAACAGTAACAAAACTATTTAACTGTTATTTAAAATAATTTGAAGTCCGACTCTGGTTTTTTAATTTATTTAATCTGATTATATTCAGCACAACAATATTGATCAGCGCTAATTAACATTGAATAAGGAAAATCACTCCAAATGAAAAATTCAAATAAAATTAATATCCAGGTCAGCAATTTAAAGATATTGATTATTTTAACTTTTTTATTGTTAATTTGAAATCTAAGTCTAATAATCTTATAATATGCATAATAGTAATCGTAGTTATTATAAATAAATCAACTTCTACAAAATAGTTCCTAATGCTCTGCATGTTCGAAAGGGTTACCATCCTTCATAATGCACACATTAATTTGTTTTTCGTTCAATCTTATGTATAGCTCTTTGAACAGATCTTCTTCTTATACTTCCGAATGCATTTTGTACTCTTTAATTGTTTTGTATTACTTCTTAATTGTTTTTGTAACTTAATGTTGAAACTATTGATTTCAAATGTCCAAAACAATTTTTATTGATTTTCCTTATTCAGTGTTAATTAACGCTGATCAATATTGTTTTGATGAATATAATCGTTGTGATGAATATAATCAGATTAAATAAATTAAAAAAACATAGCCGGGTTTTAAATTATTTTAAATAACAATTAAATAGTTTTGTTATTGTTAAGGTACCCAAAACAAAAAAAAAAGTATCAAGTGTGGCATATCATTGTACTCAGGAGACTGAGTTCTTTCAAAACCTGAAATAAAAAATGCAGGTCCGTATTTAAAAAAATTAAGTTGCCCTCTGTATCTCACAAATTATGAGCTAATTTGAAAATCTAAAAATGCCGTCAGATAGCTCTAATAAAGTGGCTATAAGAATGTGCAATTACTTTTTTGATTTTCTAAAAAGTAACGACAGGAAAAAATAAAATTGATTTTCAAAAAAATCCGTTTTTTCCAAAAGACTGAGCAATCCTTGAAATTTTTAAAACTCTTTTGATGGCATCTTGGTGGACATTCTAAAGCGCAACTTTGCCCCAATTTAACCATGTTCGTATCAATTACGGTTACCGAGATACCAATGCTCGTACCTCGAATTTGTAGCACCCTGTATACATAGTTTTTCAAGGTACGAACATTATCTCATGTAGGGATAGTGGTCCCTGTGTGCGAGTGTTCTATGGACGGATGTCCTGTGTACGGGTAGTTTGTCCTATGTACGGATTGCCTCAGTGTGGATGTGGCATACGGCACATGCTGCTTTGCTCCTGTTTTTAAGCCTAGTTGATAGTTACGGCTGTAATGGTTCATGATGTCCTCACCCTGGCCTCTTTTTTTGTATTGGCCAACAGTAAAACCGAGAGAGAGTGCAGAGATACAAGCCCACCTCACGCTGTTACTGTTTGAAGCAGGTACATTTTGCAGTCTTAAGACAATAACGCACATCTTAGATAATATCGTACAGACTATGTTTAGTGGTTAGATCGTTAAGAACTTATTTATGTCTATTTCGTATTTAAAATATGATTTACATCTTTAGCTCCATTACGAACATATCTTGTAATAGTATTACTTTCTATATATAAATAGCGATATTTTAACAGATGAATAACCGAACAGATTCTAGAATCTACGGCTTGCAATATCTCAGTTTTAGTGTCGTATAAAATATAGCAAATTAAATAAAGTAATGCTACCTTTTATATATTTTCTATAGCCTTATCTATATGTATTGTATTTTTCCATAGTCTTTTTAATAGAAAAAATTTGAGACTATTTTTAACAAAACTTTCCTCGACATATAACCCACTATAATTACTAAAATTTTACAATGTTATTTACCATCAGAGTCCATCATGAATAAATATAGTCATTAGTTTTAAATACTATACAGCTGTTTTCTTTCTCTGTTCATGCCTGGCGCCCAATATTTATATTTTTGATTTTTTATTGTTAATTAGTTTTTCTCCAGTGAAATACAGTATCCACGACTGCTCTACCGATGAAAAGCTGCCGTTCGCAGGGGTAGTGTTTAAATAACGTTATAATAGATTGATATGATGGTATACCTACTTGCTTATGATTGGACTTACCGTTATCAAATATATTATCTGCTGTAAATCGGTACCCCATTACACCTTTTATCTCTTCTTCTCTTACAAATTCTAATTCTGCGTATTTACATAATTCGGCAGAGTATAATACTATCTTTGTTTTCTTAATATTCAGAGGATAGAATTCACCGGCTGATCCCCTGACATCATTACAATGTCCGCGATAAAAGTCTGTGTGATTCTTATAGTTCCACGTCAGTTGCTGTCCAAAGTTTTCGTCGTTTTTGGTATACATACTCATTATTGAGTTATTATCTATTGTTCCATTCCTCTAAAACAAAATGCAATAATAAAAAACATAATCCTTATGTACATAAATAATAAAAAATATAATCTTTATTCACATAAAGACACTGCAAGGATGAATATTATTCCGATCGAGGACTGGAAGACTTATTATCAAAATCGTCTGACGAAAAATAGAACCGTATTCATACAAGATCATGAAAGTCCTCTTGTTAATCCAACCGAATCTGAGCATCCAACACTAATAATCTCTGCAGATATAGATAAGGCCCTCCAACAAATGAAAATTGGTAAAGCTCCAGGTTTGGGATATGTTTCACTAGAACTTTTAAAGGCTGCCCCCTCAGCATATTTAGAAATTCTGGCAGAGATTTTTAGTAGATGTTTAAGTGGAGAGGACCCCGCCCCAGAAATGGAAAAAAAGGATTATTACGTCCATATTTAAGAAAGGGAGCCGATGCGCGACGTGATTGTGAAAACTATAGAGGAATTAGTGTCATTTGTACTGTTGCTCGACTCTATGGCAAAGTACTAAAACATAAGATAGAAGCACAGATAATGGAATCGGAAGAGCAAAATCGTTTTAGACCGGGACGCTTATGTACCGATGGCATTTTCAGTCTTAAGCATCTAATCGAAAAAAGGCTAGAAAGGGGAAGGACGGTTCACTTGACATTTATTGATCTACAGAAGGCATACGATACAGTCCCACTAAGTTGTGGGTGTCAATGCAAAATTTTGGTATCAGCAGTTATGTCCAAACAACAAGGAAATTATACGAGGGTTGTAGTAGCACTTGGAAACAATATTTCCTAATAATTTCTTGTAAATAAGGGCTTAAGACAAGGGTGTTCATTAGCACCAACTTTATTTAAAATATATTTAGAAGTACTAAAAAGTTGGGAGATAAAATGCCGTGGAATGGGAATTCCAGTAGGAAAAGACACTTTATATACCTTACTCTTTGCCGACCAGGTTTTAATAGCGGGAGACAGAGACGACTCCAGTTATATAGTTTAGAAAACTGCATGAGGAATATTCGAAATGGGGCCAACGAGGGCCAACAATCAACACAAAGAAGACGGAGTACGTGGTAGTGGGTGATGACGAACGTGAGGATTTCAATGTAGGAATCTGCACAATTAAAAATGTCTGTACGTTTAAATACTTGGGCGTTACTTTTACAACAAATAATGGAAAAAGCACTCAAGATATTGCAAATAAAGTTGGTCAAGGAAAAAGAGTTATCGGTCAACTAAACTCTTTGTTGTGGAGTGACAAAATTTCCCAAAAAAACAAAAATTCTACTATATAAAACAGAGTAGAGAAGAACAAGTTGCTGTCTCTTAAAATGGACTTTTGGCAAAGAAGTTGTCGCATCTCAAGACTGGAACACATCTCAAATCCAAGAATACTAGAAATTATAGGACAAAAAGAAACTATCATCGACGCCATTGACAGTAATACTAAGTTGGTACGGACACCTTTAACGAATGGAAGATAACCGATAGCTAAAAAGAATTCATTCATGGACACCAAGCGAAAGGCGGAAACTGGAAGACCACCTCGAAGATGGAAGCAGGGATGTTGACGCTATGAATTTAAGGGGCCTTCGGGAAGAAGACTGGACAGACAAAAATCTGTAGAATTTGAGAAGCGGGAGACGACGAATGTCGTATAAACCCGCAATATATAATATAAAAAACGTAATTTCTTCAAATACTCTGAGTACATTTTGTGTAAGATTTTTATTGATATTATTTCGAATATTTACAGGATTTTTTTGCCATAAACCGTTCGTTAATACACTCAGCGGCACGAAAAACGGGTAAATTAAAATTTTTATATATTTTAAAGTTTAATATATTTCGTTCTAGTGGGCCGATTTTGATGATTTTTTAAGCAATTTATAGATAAATTGTTGGACTTTTTGGTATCTCTTTCTAAATTAAAAACGAAAGTTTCTATCTGTCAATTACACCAGGGAAAACAAAATGTTGATATTTTGGTGAAAGTTTGAATCACCCTGTGGAATATGTTAACAAAGCAAGGATTTTAAAAATCATCTAGGTAGGCTTTTCTCGATAGTTTGTTTTTTAATTCATTTTTATTTTTTAATTCATTTTAACTGAATATCTCCATCGCTTTTGAATAAGACTTTAACGATTTACAGCAATTTGAGCATATTGTAATCGCAAAACATTTTCCGATGCACGTCATCAATCACATCGAAATTGACACTAAAGTCTATAAACCTGAGTAAATGAAATTTTAGCAAATATGTTTCAATTTGTTGATTAATTTAAGATACCAAGCAGCTCTTCATTATACTTTATAGAGCAAATGATTGTAACAAATATTTTATTTAGATTAAAGCTGCAAAAATTAGTTTAAACCGATTCTTATTATCGCCTTGTTGGTCACATTGCGCCATGTTCAGCAATGTTGTCGTATATTATTTGACACTTATCCTAGTGTCAGTCATTATTTTGTATAATATCGTGTTGTTGAAATTTTTCGGAATTCTCGTTATTTGTCGTTTTTCATAGTTTTTTTTTCTTAAATTGTACTTCTAAGGACAAACAGAACTAAATTTTCGATATTTTTTACTGCATTTTTTGAAATTGTGGGTTGAAAATATGCCGAAGCCTTTAAACAGTCGAAGCAAATCGCTTGTAAATTCCCTGATAAAATATTTTGAGCGCGAACGTGACAATAAAGGTCCTTTATTACCCTTGAATGCAGTCAGAGAAGTCAGATTGATTGGTAAGCACATTATACCACTTTCAAGTTATTTCTACTTATTTCAATTGACTGAGAGGTATGGGCATAAAAAATTGCCTCCGTACCATTGCAAATTCAACCCAACTGAACATATTTGGGGTACTGCTAAGAATTATTACAATAGGCATATTGGTCGAGAAGGAAGGACAGAAAGTCATTGTTTGAATACGTGGCAGGAATCTTTTGCTACTAGATATTTGGGCAAATTTGAGGGTGAGATAAAAAAATTATACGAGAGAGAACATATATTCGACAGGCTAAATATGGATCCTGTTATTATTAATTTTGATCAAAATAATGGTTCAAGTGATTTTCATGACCATTCGGATTCCGACAACTGAAAATAAGTCATCAATTGTTTGGTTGAACTAATTAATTACTGTTCTCAAGGGGAATTTAAGCGATACATATAGCCTTGCTTAGCCAAAAGTCAACCTTCCCTTCGCGTGTTGCACCCTGTTCTACACAAACGAGGCTCTGATGTCATATGGGAACGCGGAGAAGTATCTCAGGACTTTCGCAACGCAAATATAGAGGATATATTTATGAACAAAGGAAGTGCATCAGACTGCGGAAACTACCGGGAAATTTTACGATGTCCTAGCTATCGGAGGAAAAGTTCTTGCAAAAATTATGTCAAACCGCCCGCACCTACATATTGAAAAAAGCCTCCCAGAATGGCAAACGGGCTTTCCCACCAACCGCTGTATCGTTGATTCCATATTATCCGTCCGCCAACTACAGGAAAAAGTAAAGGAGCAGCAGAGTAAACTTTATATTGTATTCATCGCCCTACCAAAAGTCTTCGATACTAAACAGAGAGGCACTTTGGGAAATTATGCAAAAGTTCGGAGTACCTAACAAATTTCTTACAGTGTGTAAAAGCCTCCATACCAAGAACAAATCTAGAGCGTCCCATCATGGATCACTTTCTACCAAATTCCTTTCTACCAAATTCAGGAGTTAGGCAGGGATGTGTCTTAGCGCCTCTCCTATTCAACATGTTTATAGCAGCGCTCTCTATTATACTGAACAGCAAACTGCAGGAAAGAGGAATGGGCAGTAGATACAGATGGCGGTCTGTTCAACATAAAAAGACTCAGGGCAAAAACACATGTGTCAGTCATTATTTTGTATAATATCGTGTTGTTGAAATTTTCGGAATAATTCTCGTTATTTGTCGTTTTTCATAGTTTTTTTTCTCTTAAATTGTACTTCTAGGGACAAACAGAACTAAATTTTCAATATTTTTTACTGCATTTTTTGAAATTGTGGGTTGAAAATATGCCGAAGCCTTTAAACAGTCGAAGCAAATCGCTTGTAAATTTCCTGATAAAATATTTTGAGCGCGAACGTGACAATAAAGGTTCTTTATTACCCTTGAATGCAGTCAGAGAAGTAAGATTGATTGGTAAGCACATTATACCACTTTCAAGTTATTTCTACTTATTTCAATTTGTAGCTAGTATATGCTGCCTTAAATTTGAACATTTCTACTTTGTGTGCAGTTTCACAAGCTGTTAAACGTAATGAGCCATTAGAGTCACCTAAGAAGAAACGTCCTACAAAAAGGGTAACAAACACGTTAGATATTACGGCCATTCGTGAGGCTGTTTACGAGATGTACGAAGACAGTAAGTATTATCAATATTATAACTACAATACCTAAATGCATACGCATTTTTAGCAGTATACTTGCTTTACGCAGCAGGTGTACGGCTGTTAAATGCTTTACTTACAATACCTAAGTTAGAAAATAAGAACAGCACGTAACTTCGAAGAGTTTAGGTGTCAAATTAAAAGACAGAGAATTATTTGATGGTTGTGAAACCTCTCTGAGAAATTTATTAAAGGAGATTGGTTTCCGTTGGAAAAAAGATGAACCGAGGCGGGGTCTCATGGAACTACCCAATGTTGCTCTCAAACGAATTGTTTTTTTGAAAAAATATATAAAAGAAAAAGAAGATTCTCTCTATGACTTTGTTTTCCTAGATGAAACTTGGATTTTCCAGAACGGAACTTTAAGTCATTCATGGCAGGATGAAAACAAAAGAAGTGTGAGATCCACAAAAACTGATGGTAAAAGGTATTAGGTACACATTAAGATTATCGTATGCTTAGTTAAATACATTTTATTTAAAACCATAAGTACATAATTTTACATGCAGGCAATAAAAATGGATTTAACGAGGGCGCCGAAGCAATTTTTTCCTCAAAAACTAAACTGGGTGACTAGCATGG